CCCCGATGCAGCCCTGGGTGCTAGAGCAGGGGTGGAGACCCCTGCCAGCGCTGAGATGCTTACACATTCACTGACTCGGCTTTCCTCCTGCAGTCGCCATCATTGGGTGTGTTTCGTGAGATGGAGGGGGACTTTGTGGATTGGTGTCAGCCATGGGTTAATGTTGGACTTGTGGGCTTGGGCAGCACTGGGTTGGGATGTTTTCTTGATGTGCACTTATGCTTTATATAAAACTCTCTCTTATACATATAAGTTTCTGTGGATTTGTTTCTCTAAAGTACTCTGACTAACACAGAGAGAGAGCGTCTACTACTGGCTGAGGAGAACAATGACTATCCTTGCTGCTTCTGACTCTTCTGACTTGTGGTAACTTTCCTAATAAGCCCCCCCCCTAATTGTAAGTATTGTCTGTGAGTTCTGTGTGGCCATTGCGATGAATTCTTGAATCCAGTATGGCTGTAGAGTGGTGTGGGAGGATAGACTGGTGTCAGGCTAGGTAACGATCGGAGTGTGGATGTTGGCCTTACCCCTGTCTTATGACAACAGAAAGTCAGAGGAGGTAAGATATGGCTCTCCATTGCCACTGACGGCAGCAACTAACAACAACAAAACAGAAAGAATGGAATGAATGAAGTAAATCCTGGAAATAGTTCAATCTTAAGAATATTAATATTGAGGGAAAGGGAAGAACAATTGCTACCATCTGATCAGAAAGCAATTCTGTAATTAACAACATCTGTCCATTTTGCACAGAAGCATCCTGAGCCTGTGGGTTAGATGTTGAGCTGCTAACTATGAGGTTGGTGGTTCAACCCATCAGCAACCTCGAGGGAGAACGATAAAGGCACCTGCACTTTAAAGATATACCGCCTTGAAACACACAGTCACAACCAACTCGTTGGCAACGGGTTTGGTTCGAGGTGTCTGAATCCATGTGGCATGGGTCTGACACCATACGATGACCTGCACAAGAGAAAGTAGGTCCTCACAGATCACATTCATGCCTAAGTAACCAAGGGAACCATTTTCAACTGGTGGTTCTGAGGCTCAATTATGGTGGGAGTCTATTTGTTGACACCCATTCCCATTATCCTCTTGACGTGTCCAGTTTTATTTATTGTACATATTTAGCTACCAAAGTTTGAAAGCCCATGCTAGGGTCGGTAATATCAGAAGCATAAAAATGCCATCCCAAATTATATATTACAAGCAAATGTAGCTTCTCACAGTAAGCTAAACTTTTAAAACAGAAACATCAAACTAAAGTTTAGATATTATTTACATTATGTCCTAATGCATTTATTATCATAGTTTCTCAGTGTGTGTTTTCTTTAGCCATTTCATTTTAACAGTGAATAAAAGCTACTGGGAAGGGCAATGATGGCATGGTGCAAGAATAATAGAGAATCCGAAGTCTGAAATTGGTACTTAAAACTAATTAGCTAAATACCCACCAATAAGCCTTCTCATTTTTATTTTTGAGGCTCAGTTTTCTCCACCTTAAACATTGAAAGAATGGGTTGCGTACCCTGCTTTTTAAAGACGGAATACTCCACAACTGCAATCGAGTCGATTCTGACTGACAGCTACCCGAGAGGACCGAGTAGATCGTCCCCCATAGATTAGAACTCTCTACAGGAGAGAAAGCTTCACCTTTCTCCCTCAGAACAGCTTCTGATTTTGAACTTACCTTCATATATTCTTTCAAAAGGTATCATTTGGGCTGAAGATACAGGACACATAACTAAAAGTCCTCCCCAAATATTTTATGGTTGTGATGAAACTATTCTTACTATACATTTTCCACTAACACTTTTTATATTGAATTTATGCATGAGAAATATCTGTGAGCTATGGCATCTTGCCTTCCCTCCTATTGATAATTCTTACTAAATAAGTGTCTCTTATGCAACCTCCCAAACTATGATTCAGTGTCTGTGAGAAAGCTTCAGAAGAATACATTTATTCAGGTTCTTGTATCCTAGCCAAACCACAAATTAATAAATTGGCAGAATCAGAATCATGTTCAACAACCTCCCTAGGATTCATACCTGCCAGCTTTCTACAAAGATAAAGCCTGAGGATTTTGGCAACGCCTTGAGTTTCGAGTTGGCATATGCATTTTTCATTTGAAAAAATGTTCGCTGCCAGTTTATCCAATGTATTTCATTCCCAAGTACTTCTCTTGACTAGAGTCTAAACTCTCATCAAAGTGATTCTTTGGCAACGAGGAATCAGTACCAAGGAAAATCTAGGGTGTTTGCCATTTGAAATATTTTGTTGCTCTCACTTGCCCCAGCATTTTTTTGGAGACCATTTTGAATTTTAAATGTTTAGCTAACTCTCTGCCTTATTAGAATACTTTCGCTTTCATCCGATGAGCTATCTTGCTTCCCATTTCAGTGGAGAAAGGCAAACACATTCAGTGAGAAAAAGGATTGGTAAAATAAAGAACACGGACTTCCAAATGGCTGTCTCCATTGAGTAAAGGGTACAGGGGCAATTTGTTTGTTTTATTAATAATTTCATTCTAGATCCAAGAAGCGGTGCAAGACAAACGAAAAATGCCAGCAAGGATGACAAGCCAAAGAGGCGAATAAACTGCAGCAGAATGTTTATAGCATGGAGAGGAGCTACATAACATAAGCTCCCTGCTGGGAGTGGAGCAGATAGCTAAGCCAAACCAGGTCACAGCCAGGCTAAACAACAGGATGGCACTGGAGAAGAATGCCATCAAGTGCCCCAACGGTTTCACAGATGGCATGGAAGGGCCCACATGGCCCACCTCACACCCCATTGCTGTGAGGCTGGGTTCAAACATGCCTCCACCCACCTTCTGTTTGACCCTCGTCTGACCACAGCCATTGCTCCCGTGGCACCCCACTTCTCTGCTGGTCTGACAATGTGCTGCTATAGCTATACCGACCTCACAGACTAAACTTACAATTCAGTAGGGTTATATTGGGCTGCTCATGGAAATATCAATGGCTGGGAACCACCAACCCCTGTGTGGAAGAAAAATGAGGCTTTCTAGTCCTGTAAACAGTTCCAGTGTCAGAAACCCGCAGGAGCACCTTTCCCCTGTCCTGTCGGGTGGCCATGAAGTGGAAGCCACTCAAAGGCAGTGACTTGGTGTTTTCCTAGGGGAAGTTAACAGAATACCACAAGCCAGGATTAGTGAAAGGTCCACAACAGTACTTCTCTTCAGCCAGTAAGTCGCCTAATCTCTCTAGGCCTTAATTTTCACGCACAGGATCCCTTTATTTCTGCCCCTGGGGGCCAGGAGGTCACCCTATTGCTCTGCCTCATAGTACCGTAGTCTCCAAGCTGCTTTTCTGTCTCACGGCCTCCACGAGGCGTCTCGGGTCCTGCTCGGGTGCCTGCGTCTCTTCTGCTTCAGACAGAGACGTGGAAGCTGCATTACTTGTAGCTCCTCTTCTAATGGTCTTGAGCCATCTTTCTCTCTGCCTCGGCTGCCAAGATGGCTCCTCCTTCTAGCCAGGGGATTTGTAAGTAAAATGGAGCAATCCTCTTCATTCGTGTCAAAAAACCCCAAAAACAAACCCACTAAACCCACTGTCAGCAAATCAGTGTCGACTCACAGCGACCCTACAGGACAGGGTAGAACTGCCCCTGTGAGTTTCCGAGACTGTAACTCTTTACAGGAGTGGGGAGTCTCATTTTTCTCATGCAGAGAGGCTGCTTGTTTGGAACTTGTGACCTTGAAAATTGCAGCCCAATCCTTAACTATTACGCTACCAGGTCTCCTATTACACCGCCCCCCTATTTTCAAAGCCCCACCCAATCATCTTGTGGGCTCTGAAGAGACGTGGATAGAAGAGCCATGTCAATAAATTTCACCCTAGGGCTTAAATGATTCATCTTGCATTCTATCTAATATTTCATTAACTATTTATGAATCCTAATATCTTTGTTGCAAGAAAACATTAAAGACCACCAAAGCTAATATTTTCACTTATGTAACTAATGAAAAGCCAAGTCTAAGGTTAGTTTTTTAAGTGTCGACTTGTTTAAAAAATAAAAATCTGCTTTGTAAGAGGCATCAAAATATTTTGAGAATCTCTATTCCTGATGATATCATCAAAGACATTTCAAATCGTTCAGTCATCAATCTTATACTTGTGTAAACATCCCCGTACAAATAAATACCAGTGTCAATATGTCAGAATAAAACTGTTCGCCAGCAGGGCTTTAATGGCTGATTGTCCAGAAGCAGATCTTGAGAATCTTCGGAGGAGGAACTTCAGGAAGTGTCAAACCTCGAACACTTTCATTAGCTCCCAAATGAATAAACCTCTTGTACCACTTAGGAATTGAACAAATAATTACCAAACCCCACACCATTCCACTTGCTATCCAGCTGACTCCTCTGACCTTTTCCAGTTCCGAGGAGAACTGTGCTCTCGGAGGTTTTCGGGACGGTCACCTTTAGGTAGCAGATCTCTAGGACTTTCTTTTGAGACACCCCAGAGTAGGTTTGAGCACCAACCTTTTGGTTCGAAGTCCAGTGCTTAACCATCTGTACCTCTGAGGGACTTCTGACACATGCATTAGGACTTAAATTTGTACATCTGTATATGGCTAATAAGGAGCCCCGGTGGCACAGCGGCTTATACATTGGACAGTTACCTGCAAAGTGGGTAGTTGCAAACCACTAGCTGCTCTGGAGAGAAAGATGAGGCTGTCCACTCCCTTGAAGGTTTGCAGTCTCAGAAACCCACAGGGGAAGTTCAACTCCACTCTGAGAGTCGGAATGAACTCCATGTCACTGAGTTTGAGTTATGGATATGACCATCTGACTTGTTAAAAACACTGTATCTCCCCATCACACTGACATTGGTGTGTCTGTGTGCAAGTGATTTGAACTCTTAGCAATAATACATTTGAAAAAATCCTTCTGCGTCTCCTTTCCCCACATGGTCATTGACTGTGTCGTCCGTATAGGAAAAGGAGGCAGTGGAGCTGCAACCAGAAGTTACCTTCTTGATGGTGTCCAGCATGGATCGTCCTCCTTGCCAGGGCTTGGAGTTCTTCCGGATACATGACAGACTTGCCATGCTGTGCCACTTCCGGTCCTCCAGTTTCTTATGAAAAGCATTAGCCAGCAGGAGCACTGTGTCATATATGTAAAGGTTTGAAATCTGAAAAGGTAGCAGACAGCAACCATTAGAATCATTGGCGCCACCGCCAAGAATGAGGAGCAACTGTCAGCTCAACTGATTTCATTCATGTCATAGATTTCCAGTTTAGTGGGTTATTTATTAAGCAGAACTTTTCTTTTTAATTTCATTTCTCAGGCAATTCTGCTATTGGGAATGGAGTCTTGTCTGATTGTATGCTTCAATTGCTTTTTCAGCTTATTTAGGTGAGAGAGAAGATAAAAAATAAAAGTTTCCACAGAGGCAATGTTGTTAGTGTCAGACCTTAGAAAATCACTGCTCCTTATTTCTTTCTGAGGAGCTGAGGATCTAAGGGTTTAAGATTGGAAGGGCAAACTGAATAATACATTCTGTGAATATGTCAAGTTTTTGCATCTAGTTATTCAGATGGAGAAATACCAACTCAATCTTACATATGAGTCTCAAGGGTACACACATAAAAAGGAAGCAGCCATCTGTGTATACATTTATATCTGTGTAGATTCAGTAATGAAATAATGAAATGAAGCAGCACCATTCATAAACAATTCAATGATCATGGATTTACATAAAACATATAGGTATACACACACAGTGCAGTATCCTAATATGACAAATAATATAAACTACTAACGGTATGTGTTATATCAATGCTCTTTTTCTTCCAAAGTAACCACATGATTATCTTTTTTCCATATACATGGCAACATGAATTACAGGCAATTTTAGGCAACGTCCATTGCTCTTATATGGGTCAGTCTTGCCAGAACTAGTAGTTACATTGTCAATTAATTACAAAAGATGGTTATTTTCAAAGAAAATAGAAATGATAAACCATATATACCATGAGATAAGCCAGGTCAATTTAAAAAAGCTATTAAATTTAATATTACCTCTATAAAATAAAGTTTAAATAAGTAAAAAGGTAAGTAATAAAGGAAAAAGATGAGGAAATCATTGGCGCTGTGAATGTTTATTCCATTGGAAAGTATTTATGTACATTTTCTCAGGGCTTGGAAAGAGCCTATTTATCATAGCTTTTCTAGAAAACAGAGGGAAGAAAATATCCAACTGTCTTTGGTTATAATTAATCGTGAAGGAGATGCAAACATCATCTGCCTGCATCAACCAATGGTTCTACACTTCATCTCGGGGATAATGGGCAGGGAAATGAAGAGCCTGATTCTTTGAGCAGCTGTTGATCAGAACTCCCCAACCGCTCCTTGGGAGTTTTTGTATACCGTGCAGGTACATTTGGAATCATGTGGTACATTGTTTCATGTTTATCATCCAGGAACTATTGAAGAGACATTGAACACTCCTACACATTATGTGGAAATTCAGTTTGTTCTCCTCTCTCATCACCCAGGTCCTCTGCCAGTAAACTACTAGTGGGTCTCTCTCAACTCAGTGCCATCAGGCTGATTCTGACTCATTACCGATGTGTAAGTGATAACTGTGGCACCAGTGCTCCTATTAGAGCAGCGGTTCTCAACCTGTGGGTCATGACCCCTTTGGGGTTCGAACGACCCTTTTAGGGGGGGGTCGCCCGATTTATAACAGTAGCAAACTTACAGTTATGAAGTAACAATGAAAGCAATGTTATGGTTGGAGCGTCACCACAACATGAGGAACTGTATTAAAAGGTACGGCATTAGGAAGGTTGAGGACCACTGTACTAGAGGGCTAATTTCTCTTTTGGTCCCTGTGAACCTTATGTTGATGTGTATTATTATCAAGAAACAACTTAGCCCACTTTGAGTCATGTCATTTATGTTTTTAAGAGTCACAGTGACCAAAGGTGCTGCTGAAATGTTGAGCTAAGGTCAACGGACGTGTAACAGAAAGGCAACAGCCACGTACATCTACCGCTACTCTATAAAGTCGTACTTTCCAAAGTTGTGAGGTGTCACTGAGTGGGTTCCAATTCCTATCAGCCGCGTGGACGACACAGTGAGCTGCTGACAAACTCTGCTCTGTCTTCCCAGGGCTCTAGGGTCCCCCATTGTTGCAGCCACTGTCACTTCACCTCGCAGCGGTCTTTCAAAATAAACACCGTTAACATCAAAGGCAATGTCACGGATAGAAAAATAAATCTTTAGAAACATTCATTTAGTACTGATCTGAGGTCCCACAAATTTCTAATAAGAATATAAACAAAGTTCAGCTATCACGAATAGTGTTATTAGCTTTTAGATTAGCATGTATAGAAACATACTCTAATAGTTGTAATAATAATCCTCATCACATAATTCCCAACTTTTTTCCTTCTTACTCAGATGTTAATTATAGTTTCACAATATATGCAAAACATGAGAAGCCCAGTTTCACCAATTTATAGAATATTCAATAGTTTATATACTCAGTTGATGATAATAGTTGCTCAGTCCTTACATCACTATTAATTTTAAATTACTATTAATTTTGGAAGTTGTTTCGGTAGTGTTAAGAATACACATCATGAAAGCTATAAAGGCATGAGAGACAAAGATTGAGTTATAGACAAAAGCAATATTCTATATCAAAATTTAGCATTATTTTTAACAAAATCTTTTGTCAGCTGTGAGAACACATTCGAGTGTAAATGCCTTAAGCTTCCAAGACTGAAGACACAGGAGAGTTTTTATTACCCTTATTATTTTGATTGCATCTCAACTGAAGTGAACATCACAATCCTATGGGAAGATTTAAAAATATAGAGATTCCCTTTCCCTACACCAGTTAGTGACTTTGAAGAGGGAAGTCACGATTCTGTCTTTTAGTATTTTTTAATTTAATGTTTCTCGATGATTCTTATGCAGTGACCCAGGAGAGTTCCTGTGAGATCTTTGAAAATCACTGATTCATAGAAATGAAATAAATTATATTGGGTTCCAACTTGAAATGTCTAACATTTTGTTTGACAGGTAGTATTTGCCGGCAGAATGCATTAGGAGGCTAGATGTAACCATGTTTATACATAGGTGCCTTGGTGATGTGCTGTAGTGAGTTATGTCATAGGCTACTGCATCTGACACTAGCTCAGCAGTTCAAACCACCAGTTGTTCCTTGGGATAAATATAAGACTTTCTACTCTGCAAAAGGTTTACAGTGCCAGACACCCTCCGGGGCCCTTCTACGCTGTCCTGCGGGGCTACTCTGAGTCGGAACCGATGCAGTACCACTGGTGACGTCCTGAGTTTTATATTAGTTCACATTCCTTATAGTCTCTCTCTCTATCAGGATATTTTCTTGTTCCTTTATCTATTTTTTATTTTTCCAATCAATTAAATAAAAGTAAATTTACAAAAGAAACACTCTGAAATACTATAGCCATGAAGTCACAATACTAACCTGTGTTGAGTGGTAGTATACCCTACATTAATATCTCAATTTCAAATCTTTGATTTTGTTTTTGGGGAATGTAATGAAATATTTATTGACATAAGGGCCAATAACTTAAAGAAACAAGATTTGAGATGCTATTGTCTCATCAGTAAAATAACTGATGTCGAGATTCTGTTTCCTATTCAATAAAACTGGGACTCAAACACTAGGGCTACCATTTGTCTATACAATTGTTGCATTGTGGTGGCTTATGTGCTACTGTGATGCTGGACGCTATCCTACTGATCTTTTAAATGTTGGCAGGGTCACTTATGGTGAAAAACTAGTTTCAGCGGAGCTTCCACACTAAGAGTAAGAAGAGGGAAGAGGTGGTCCACTTCTTAAAAAATAAGCACTGAACATATTTTAAATAGTAACAGATCATAAGTACTGATACAGTGGCAGAAGTCAAACCCTCAGGTTGGAACACCCAAACCAAACCCGAGTCGACTAGAAATTAGAACATCCCTACATAGGATTATGAGGCCTTGTAAACGTTATGGGATTGGACAAAAGAGATTTCTTCTGCGGAGCAGCTGGTGGTTTGATTAGTTGACCCTGCCATTAGTAGTCCAACATTTACCCAACAACTCCACCAGGGTAGGTTGGAAGGCAAACAAAATACAGCTAGGGAAGTGTTGTCTTCTCAAAGTAGATTCAATCCTAATAACTTGGAAGGAGCTAAGCTTTCAGGACATTCATTTTCTGATGTGGCACAATTCAAAATGAGAAGCAGCTGCAAATATCCATTCATAATTGGAACCCGAGACACTCATTAATAATGAAATTGTGAAGTATGAACCCAGAAAAAACAGAAGTTGTCAAAAATGAAATGGAATGTCTAAAGATGGTTAGCCTAAGAATTGGTGAGAGGCAATGCATAGGTCATGGTTACTTGGAATCAGGTGATCCTGTGTCCATTATGCCTGGAGACATCCCTTGATGAGGAATGGCATCACGACCACCCTCTGTAAAGAACATTTCACCCTTTGCAAAGAACATTTATTCTGAAGTAAAATGAGGTCAGTGTTAGGATAGGGAAGACCAGTTAACACAACTCTTATTCAAATTCATACATTAAATACTAACACCAGAGATGAAGAAACCAAAGGCAATTATCAAATTCTTCAGATGGTTGAACAAACATGCGATCGAGATGCACTCATAATGAGCAGGATTAGAAATGTGAGAATTAGAAACAAATAAGAAGGACCAGCAACTGTAAAATATGATGATGGTAATAAAACCTATGACTGACATTGCATAATACAAATTTGTAAGACCAGCGATTTAGTCATTGTGAATATCTTTTTTGTTGTCTGGGAAAAACAAACCATGAGGCACTGTTGGCACAGTGGGTTACGGATTGGACTGCTAACTTGAAGGTCAGCAGTTTGAAACCATGAGCCATTCAGGGAAGAACGATGAGGCTTTCTATTCTAACAAAGAGTTACAATCTTGGAAACCCACAGAAGCAGTTTTGCTCTATCACAATGGGTCAATCTGAGTCAGAGTAGACTAGATTGAAATGTGATGAGTGCTGATGCCTATGTGTATATCACTTGATGAAATACACTAAATGGTATAAAATTGACCAAATTGTGGAAAGTTACCTTAGAGAAACTTAAAATTTTCCA